TTTATGCATGTTTTGTGTGCTTCAATAAATTCATCAAGGGATTCATCTTCATGTCCCATAGCTACACGTATGTACTGAGCTTCCACTTTTATCAAATTATCAGCCTGCATAGAAGAATGTGATCGTCAGTCAGTGAGCAAATGGACAATCACTCTTCACTACAAATGCTTGTAAGGTCCTCATTGACAATACATTTTTCAATATCACGAATACAAGACCAAAAGAACATCCAGAAAAATAGTCAATCTGCATTTATTGAATACATATCCAACACAAATTGTAAATTATTGCCTTGTATGCTGTATCTCAATATGGAAAAAAAAACGACTACCAAGATAAAAGCAATGAGAGAACATAAATTAAAATCAGGAAATATATGGGTTTAAAGATACATGGCAAATCCATCTGCATTGACAAACATTCACTCATGGTAAATGACATGCAAGTAGAATGCCCATGCACTCACTCATGGTAAACAGGTTGTAACATGTATGCCCGTAGTAAATAGGTTGTGGCCACATAGGTGTTACAAAACTCATAAGAGTGAATTGTTAGCATTTTCTGGCACATTGTCTCCAAGGAAGGAATTGGCAATGATACCACAAAAGATAGAAGTGTAAACTATGATGTACACAGCATAAAGTGAGTTCAAAAATACTTCTGCAAAAACAATTTGATAGCTGAGTTTTTACCCTAAATCTTTAAATCAGGAAGAACATGTTCAGAATTCAGTGAAGTTAGAATAGAAATTAAATTAAGAGGTAGAGGTGCAAAATAAAGCTTCTATGTTCCTAATGTACATATCTTCCATCAGACTTCAAAATTATAGGACCCACCATGTTGGGGAATCATGAGAAATGCAACGTTGAAATAATGGAAGATGCATGAAAAAATTTGAATACAATGGGAGAACCACAATATATCATCCAAGAAGGTAATTAATTTGAAAGCTCAGTCATCATGTAACATGATAGCCAGCTGCAATACCCATTGCCAAGGTGAATAGCAAAACAACTACATCACAGGGATTAGTATAAAGTTGGAACCAAAATAAATGCACAGATACAAGGTAACAGCACGTATTTAGAACCATCTTTGTATCTTCTCATCAATGATCTGCCACAAGGTCACTCATTTCCTAATCTTCGGCTTCTGTTGAGCCTCTATGTCAAGGTCAAATAATAGAAAATGAGATAAGATCTTCCACAATGTAGCATGTCAAAAAGGCATGGCTTCTGGCAGACAAAATTTGAAAGGAAAAAGGATATGATTTCAGTTAAGAATGTAGTTCAAAATGAGACTTTCCATTACTGCAATATAGGGAAGAAAAAATAGCCACGTACTGACATTGACTATGTCTGAATGCTACCCATGCTTATAACATTAATAAATTAGTCAAATCCTGCTAAGTTGAAATTCTGATACTTATTAATGAATTTAAAATATGTGTGTGTGGGGTGGGTGGGTGGGTGGGTGGGTCGTGGAAAGTGTAATCCTTAGGCTGCACAAAGGGAGAAACTGCCATGGACACCAAAAGTAACTTGGGAAGGTTTTCCTTGATATAATTATCTTCAAAGAGTCAAAAGGCATAGGAAATATGAATTAGGAACATTAAAATGTGGTATTTATGCAGCTACATACACGACAGACACAATGTGCTGAACAAAAGTAAATGCTTGACAAGGAGCCAAGTCCATAATCAACTACATTAAGCACAAGCACATAAGGTCACACACACACAAACAAACAAAAATAAAGACATTCGAAGCATGACCACAGAAAGAATAATAAAATTATGAAAAGGAAGAATATGTAATTTAGCAATGACACAATAAACATATACTTGTTTCAGCTCATCTTCTTCAAAGTCCTCTATCACAGGGATAGAAGCAGCAGATCTGTTTGAAGGGTGCTTGGAGCCTTTCTTTTTCTCCTTGCTTGGCTTCTCTTCAAGTGGATACTTTGCATTATCATGTTCTAGTAAGGCTAGAAGCTCCTTCCTTATCATTTCATCAGCCTGTTCAATTGATGTAGGAGGAACAAAGGAACTCTTATCCCCATCAGCTCTCAGCAAAGAATCTCTAATTAATTCCAATGATGCCATAGGAGGCCGAGGGAGTTCCCTTTGCAGTACTTTTGATCTCTTCCTAAGTAATGCCTGCTGCCGGGCTTCTTCCGCGGCTTTTTCCCTCGCTATTCTATCAGACATATCCTCTTCAATCTTCTCCTCTAGTTCTTCATTGTCTTCTGGAGGTGGTTGGATGACTATCTGGTATTCATTCTTGGGCTGTGGAAGATTACCAAGACCAGAACGCAGATTCCTTCTCAGATCAGCCTGTCTTCGTTGCTCAAGTTTTTCACTATCATGTATATCCATATCTTCATTTATATGGAGTTCATCCCTGATGGGAGTTCCTTTTGGGGTGATCCCAAAAGAATCCCTTGATGGTGTCATAGCAATTCTGGGAGTCAGACCAACACCGCCAGGAGTTGCAGAAGGAGTCAGCATTGGGTTTGGCGTCTGAATCTCCCGTTTCTTAGGGGTAACTCCAGAAAAATCTGAAGGGTGCAAATCAGGATTCTCTCCTCCTAATAATGGTGTTTGCGACTCCCTCAACCGTGCTAGGTTTTCAGCTTCCATCATTATAGCATCACCTTTACCAGCAGGAGTTCTTTGAGGGGTTCGTAGAGGTGTCATTCCTTGCCGTGGTGTTTGGGCATAGTTTGCTAAAAGAGCACGTGTTGCACCGCTCCCTTCCATGAGTTCATCACTTCCTGCAAGAAGATCACTAGCATACCCCATCTTCGCAATGTCCTCCAATTCATGATCTGAAATCTGTGGTGCAGGAAGCATCAATTTTGACCTCTTCCTAACCGTTTCTGGATCATTCAGCTTGTTTGCTTGTAGAATAGCTGATGGGGCATCTTGCCTTTCAGCAATTTTATTCTTTGCAGCATCCTGCTTTCTTAACTGTGCTTCAATATCCATCCTTTTCTTCCCTTCAATTTCTTCAATAGTGGTCGGGAACTTAGGCTGTTCCACAGGTCTATCTTCATCAGCAACATCATAAAATCCAGGAGGAGGTCTCTTCTCAAAGGGAATTTCAGAATTATAGTCTATCCCCTTCCTTTTCCTTCTCCGTTGCCTATTATCAATACCAGCAGCCTTCAGTTCCCTCCTTTTCTGCAAGGAAGCAAGCCTCCTCGCTTCTTCAAGCTGTTTCTCCCTAGCCTTTCTTTTAGCCTTTTTACCTTTAGTATTTGCTAACCTAGCTCGTGCTTCCGAAAGCATCTCCTTCTCATCCTCATCCATATCAACAGGATCGGGACGAGCAGGCTTAGATTCTGGGTTCGGATCAATCTCGCCAGGACGCAACTTCCGTGGATCATCACCAGGATCATAGTTGTCATCCTTAACACAAGCTGCATCAAGCAGCTTCTCGTAACGCTCAAGGCATTGTGAAGGAGTACGCCCAACAATCGGGGCAATCGTCCTCCACTGCGTGGGCATGAGCTTAGCAAGATGAAGCAATTTCTCATCCTCTTCTCTAGTCCACTCGGTCTGCATAAATCCCAACATAAAAAAAAAAAATTCACTGTCTTGCATTTATAAATAAAACCACTACAGTTTCATAATCCATAAATCACTGCAGCAGATAAAAATGCTTATTTTTTCCTAATTTTCTCACAAAACCATTCAAAATTCTAGAGACCCACTGAACCATTTATCAAAAAAAAGGACTAGACTATTACCCCAAAAAATTAAAAAACGATCTTTTACTAAATAATCACTCAAAAAACCCTAAAAAATAAATCCCACTTAACCATTTATTAATAAAAACACTACACTGTCATTATCCATCCAAAAAATAAAACGATAATTTATCTTTAAAAAAAATCAAACCCAGGTACCAAAATCCAAGAGGGATAAAAATAAATAAAGAAAAGGTAAAGTAGGACAAATACATACCTTTTTAATGGAAGGATCAAGCCACTCATACCAACGAGCTTTACATTGCTTAGCAGATTTACGAACAAGAAGAGAAGAAATACGAGCCCATTGGTTTTTGCCATATTTCATAACAGCCGCTTTTAGAATTTCATCCTCCGTGTTCTTCCATACCCCACCTTTTATCATGATCCTCATCTTGCTTGCCTTTTCTTTTGAATCCCACTAAGCTCGCTTTTAGATTTTCTATGAAAAAGAAGCAGAAGCAGAAGATTTAGGGTCTCTGTGTTTCTCTTTCTGGTCACTCTGGCAAGCAAGCTAGCAAAGCATGAGATATGCGACTTTGCGCACAAATCTTCTTTTTTTTTTTTTTTCCTGATTGATAATGAATGAATCTGAGTTGAAGAAGTTTATAAGTTATTGGGCCATCCAATTTCGAAGCTTGTTGTATCGGACTTCGGGCGTTTTCTGTTATACCTTTGGGCTTGCCCATTTTCTTAGATATTTCGATACGTATGATAATACCCCCAGGCAAAGGCACTCGGTTATGCCCAGCAAGTCAAATGAGTCTTTCAGATTGACCTGAAAGCACATAGCGATTTTAAAAAGTTTTTCTTAAAAAATAATATTATTTTGATTTTTTTTATATAAATTAAGCTGTTAATTCTATAACCCAAGTTTTGAAACGAGTTGTCGATTAAACAAAAATAATAACCATGTAAGAATGTAAGAACAGGTGTCTTAGGAGATACATTTCTACATCACTTCTGTGAAATCCGCTTCTCTTTATTCAGGCTGTAACTGGCATTGCACCAAAAAAAATGTTTATCTAAAATTTAAATTTTTTTAGAAAACTTAATTTTGTAAGTGTTTTTTTAATCAAAAATTATTTTAATATATTTTTTTTAAAAAAAAAACCTTTAAAATACAACCTTTATCGTACTCCAGACAATAAACTAAGCTTTGCGTGGATTCTATGGAATTTCGGTTTGTAAATGAGGTCCACTAAGAGCACATTTGGGTGGAGCTGTTTCTGCACTAACCACACTTGTAAATAAAAATTGAGTCAAATATCTAACCACGCTATTTTAACCAAAATTTTCTTTCTGTATTACCGTTCCATTTTTACAAGGTTCCTCATTTCGTTTGACAACTGAATGAACTGGGAAAAAACAAGATACAGGATTAAGGATTTCTGCATGCCCCTTCAACCTCTTGACCGATTCTTTACCGATAATATGATGCCAGGATGTAGAGAATGACTGATGTGGCAGTGGTGATTAGCAGTTCCTGCAGGTGAAAACATATTACATTAGAGCAGACATCATTGCGTTCAACATATAGAAATATAGACAGAAACACCATCGGATAACTAATATAACCAGTTGAGCATGTATCCAAGAACTAAATAATTGCCTGTTTCACACAAGCTAATATTTGATGCATGAAGCAGGTAAAGCCGTGTTGTTATTATATCCAGCACACAGGTCAAAGAAAAACTGCAACGAGATCACTTTTATCACCACAACAGTGCATGCCGAAATCTAGGGGATTTTGCAAAATCAAATAGCAAATGCAAATAAACTAGGTTTTCTAGCCCATATGCACACATGCGAGATCTAATTGCCATTCCCAGTTTACAAAGAACCTTAAGAATACAAGCAATTTTCATTATCTGTTAAAATCACATAAACCCAAAGTGATCCCCGAATGTATTTTTGCACAAAAAATATACATACGAAGAACTCCTTTATTCAGGACAATATGTCAAGGTCACTACCTGATTATTGTAAAGAAAAACAGGTATGTAACTGCCAGCCATCTCAATCAAATTCAAAATACCAGTGTAAGCCTGCAAGGTATCAGCCAATGGTTATCAATGAACAATAATCTAAAACCAAACTAAGATTCTAATGTAGAGAAATCAGAGAGGCAAACATAATCCTGTCCAATGGCTTGCAGAAGTCCTTTCCTAAAGATCTTAAAGGAAAAGGAACGGGAAGTAAACTAAGCATGATTTAACTGGTGATCTTGCAGAAGTCCTTTCCTAAAGATCTTAAAGGAAAAGGAACAGGAAGTAAAACTAAGCATGATTTAACTGGTGATGGTCTAGCCATGAACATTTTCAAAAATTTATTGGCCAGAAACAAGGATTTAGAGGAGGGACAAACATAAAAGGTCTTCTTTAATGGTTTTACAGAATCTTCATCAAATACTTTGAAGCATACAACACCCCCCACAGCCAGCCGCAGATCGGCCCCCCCCCCCCCCCCCCCCCCCCCCCCCCCCCCCCAAAAGCTGGTCCATCACCCATAAAATTCATAATGCAAATGCCAGAGGAAAGTTATTAGTATTATTTAGAGCCTTGCACTAATGAGGGACAGAAAAGGTTTTGGAACATTTCTCTTCTCAATCATAAGAAACTCAGGATTGACTACTTCTATTTGAATGTGTGTTGCATAGCATCCCAATTAGTTCTCCAAGAACTTAGCTCAGGGAGCATTTGCATATTGAAGCCACAGACATGTGAACTTAATGACAACCTTTCCAAAACCACACCAAAAGGTAGGGAAGTGTATAATACCAAGGAAGCAAAAGCAACAGAGCCAAACACTAGTGCGAGGGAACGAAGAATCCGTTTTCCCAAGCGCAGCGTTCGTCCCTCTTCTTCACCTTCTTCCTGCAGCCAAAAACATCTCAGGTGTTGGAAAAACTTATTATGGCATGTCAAAATTATTGAAAGTGCCTCCACATCTAATGTCCCATGAGACGGAAGAATGCTACTATTATAAATTTCACTCACTGAATATGTTTGTGAAACAGGAGGTTCAAAGGCTTTTAACTTCTCAAAAATTCGATATACAAATGCAAAAGCCAAAAACTGAAGAGGTTTATATTCAGCACTGCGTTTGATAAGAATCCAAGCTGTCTGCAGAAAGACAAGCACAACTTGAGAATGGAATCCAACAAAGAACAAAGAAAGCATCATTGCTACTAAAGACCTGAAAAGTATTCATTTATAACAAGCTAACACCTATACACAACAATTCTTCCTGATGGATTGATCAGAATCACTAGTGCAACTATTAGCCACTTAACTAGGCCCTCTGTTATTGACATTTTTGGTACACCCAAGACCCAGTATTAGCATGATAAATTTCTGTGGACATTTTCTACTCATATATAAAGAGAAAAAAGAACAAAGAAAAGAGCATGTTTCTGAGGGTTGCAGAAAAAACCTGAGAGTAACATAAGTTCATTTATATTGCAGAAGGGGTTCAAAGAGCTATAAATCCTCATCATGAAAACTTAAATTGACCAAATCAATCACACCAAAAAAAAATGTCATTATATGAATTGCAAGTTCATAAAACTAAGCTCGGAGATAAAAACAATAAGAAAAACAGACAAATGGACAGTAGAATCAACAACCTATGACAGTGCCCACCAACTTCCAAATTGCTGACATGGATAAATGAAGCTAATGACTTCCTTGCCCAAGCATATCACAGGCACTCACAAAATGCAGAGAATTTTCACAAAAGAACATCAATTAATTACTTACAAATGCAACAGATATTGCCAGGTTGATGCGCATGTCATTTTCACTGGACTTGGAAAACCTGAAACATATTGAAGACTTAACATTACTGCTGAAGGAGTGAATATAACATACATGGAAAAAGAAAAGGAACTATTCTGAGATATCTACTAGTTCATCAAAGCAAAGTAAATCAGTCCGCATCCTCAATGGAAATTGCAAAGAAAAACTAAAAGATAAAAACAAATTGCACATAACTTCTATAAAATATACAAAATGCCGTCCCAATAAGTTTATGTGTAATGCTGCGCAAGGCATTTCCCATTATCTGACAGAGAAGTAGTCCTCACACCTTCACTTTAGAAAGACCTCACCTCTCCAGGCAGCCAAAGTATAACTATGCTATCGGTAACTTATTATCAATTTCATCATTTTCTCCCTGAGGTTTATTCTATGGGTGCTAGCAGAATCATAAACTACAAATAAAGGTAATACAGGACATAAAGATTTAAAGTACACAGCACCACATAAGTCAATTCTGCACCAGATTCTATTTAAAATACTGATATGGAGCAATCACAAGACCTTGGTCCCCATGGTACAATGGGCTGCTTATCAGCATATTTTATGTCCTTTGAGACCTGCATTTTAAAAATATATACAAGGATATTAGGATAATCAATATGATAACAAAATGGATCCTAGAAATGAACATCAGAACATCAATGAAACATCTTTAAAATAAGGTATCTAAAAAATATCTACGAAATTTTCAAAAATGTTTTGCACAAAAGCATGTAATCAAGAATACAGCTTTGCTACTTGATCTTGTTAGTCCTGATATTCTAATTATAAATTCCATACACCCTTGTGGACACCAATATGGGTGGGAATAGGTGAAGACAGCCACCAGAAGTTGCAAAGCAAAATGTTGCACTGCACGAGGTTCTTGATATATCCCAAGTTAGTTATGTGGTTAAGAAGAGATTGCCAAACCATTTCAAAGCTGACATGGTAACTGATAAGTTTTTCACTCAGTAAAAAGAAAAGCAATCATGAACTTAGTGTAAGAAAAGCCTGTTTTGGGTTTCTTCCATGAATGTGTAGATTAAACTAGATAGCTTGTGTACTTATTAGGAGCATATTAAGTTCTTCTAGTTGTTTTTTACATGGTCACTAAAGCTGATAATTTTTTTATACTCTTATAATATATCAAGTCGTTAGAAAAATTAAGTGTATATATATATCCAGAAACCCACACACTATAAATTTCATTCAATTTTCCCTGGACAGAAGAACATGGAAACCACCACAAATATCATCTAATATTTCACGTTTAATTCATCAATTCGAAAAGGTTCTAAAAGAATATCAAATCATGAAACATACCTTGAATGAACCATAAGTCACACCCTTCTTCCGATTACTTAACTGAGCCATCATCAATTTATCATATGCCTTCTCTAGCTGAAAGTCATGTATGGTAAAACCACAAGACAAGAATCCCAGCATAAGACAAAGTCCTCATTATAAAGACATATGCTAGTACAAAAAAGTTATCAACAGAATATTTTTTCTTTATAGTGAGATAAAGTAGTAGCATACCTGAGCAGCAGCTACTTCATCACCCTCTATGTGGGCCTGTTTGCGCTTTTTTGCATACGCTGCCTTGACCATATCAAACCCCTCGACGGGATTCACACCAAGAACCTGAAACACCCAAACCCAAAAATAATTCAAACAAAAAGCATCACACCACCATACACAACAATTCCATAACATCAAATCCTTACTGCAAAACCGAGAATTATCAAAGATTACCTCATATGGGTTTAAGTCATTATCTGACCTAGAGCCTCCTGCTGCGGACGCAGAAGCATAAATAAAACATTTATGTTGCCTTTCAACTCTAGGAAATCTGATAAAATTAAAAACAATGCTAACATTATTGTATACCCCAATGCAATTAAACCAATAAGCAAAAACAAAGATGGCATGCGTATACTTATACACAACTGAATTTACTAATTTTCATTTAAGACTGAGTCTTAAGATAAGAAAACCCATTAAACTCAAACTTTGGTATATTTTCTTTTTGTAAAATTTTCTCGGCAAACAAACAGTTCATAAGCCTCTGTACCCATTAAGAATCACTGCATAAACTAAACTCCAAGCAAAAGGTTTAGCTCCTTTATATAAAACATACTAATATTTGTGACATTTCAATGAGACTCTCTGTTTGGTTACTGAGATTATGCAAAGATCGGGATTTTAACGATAATTCATAGTTACCTGAGAAAAGAAGGGGGGGATTTTAAAACTGAGCTTTCGAGAGTGTAATTCCTTTGGGAAATTTGGCGTTTTGGGCAGTTAAGGACATTTGAGACAGCCAAAGCCATTGATTTCAATGTGGAAGGGAATTGTGGAATTTGAGTTTTAGGGTTTTTTCAAGGGTTTTTGAATTGGAGTGTGTTAGTTTTACAGGTTTATCCGTTAGGGGAATTCAATTCAATTCCTGGGAATCCCTTTTCTTTCCCCTTCTTTTGAGTAATTTACAAATCTCTCCCATGAGGCTTTGGAAGACTCCATGGCCGTACTTGTTTTCACGGTACGCTGTGCGTTTTGAAAGTTTTGAAAAAAAAATAAAATTAATTTCTTTAATATTTTTTAATTATTTTAATATACTAATATTAATTTTTAATTATTTTAAATAAAAAATAATTTTAAAAATAATCATTCCTACAATATTAAATATTATCTTAGAATAGCAACACACACATGTATTCTCGAGCTTTTTAATAAGCTCTATGATTTGTTTTTATAGCTTCTATGCATTTTTCTTAATTTTGGTGTTGATACATGGAATATGTGAGGGGTTTTTTGAGTTGATAATATCAATTTATAAATTGTTTTTGGTTTTAATTAAAAACCAAATTGTTGCATTAGTATTATTCTTAAATGAAGTTAATATAAATTGGTTACTGTCCAATATATTCAACTAATAAAATCAATGTTTAAGTATTATTTGATTTATTATTATTTTTCAGATTCAAACTAGAAAATTATTTATGCATGTTTGTTTTGTTTTTTAGTACAAACATATTTTTTTAAATTATTTTTATTTGCTTTAAATTATTTTTATATATTGTTATGATATATTGATATTCAAGATAAATTTTAAAAAATAAAAAATATTATTTTAATATATTTCAAATCACAAAATATTTTAAAAAACAGTCGATGTCACAATGTTAAACAACCCCTTAATATACCAGGTTAATGTAGGAAGTATACTTTTAAAATTGTTTTTAAAAGGATTTAGGCTTGTTTAATAAATAAATTGATTAGAAATTAATTTTATTATATAATTTTAAAAAATAAACATACAACATGGATTATTGGATTGTTAGGACTGTTAAATTTCTTTATAAAATAAACATGACAATTAAATTGTTACCATAATTCATAATAGGTGATGGTGTGTATCTGAAGTAACAAGGGTGGGTTGGCAAGCATTAGATACTTGTTTGTTGATTGGTGATGTAATATTTTTTATTTTAAAAATAATTATTTATTTAGAATATTCTAATAGCTAACCATTCTAGTTATAGATTAAATGACTAAAGTTTTTATCTTTTCTTTCTTTTTTTTTCTCTCTGGCATTCTACATGATTGCATTTTTCATTAGCATGATTGCAACACACATAAGTCCTCTGGAAGCACTAACAAGTACACAAACAAATTTTTATTTGCATCCAAACAACATATTTTTATGATAATTGCAACACTACTTTCCAAGACTAGAATGTCTAATTAGCCTATTCTTCATGCCTACAATGGCTAATCATCATTATCACTAATTAAATGACAAAACATCACAGCAAAAAAAACCAATATTTTTATCAATAACATGAATAATACAACAAATTTTTTAAAAAAATATTATTATTTGCGTCTTCATCAATGCCTAGTATGGCATACAAGCTCACACCAACGTCATATAAAAATATTTTCCTTTATCATGAGATAAATTTGAAGATTGAATGTATAAATATACCTGATCATCAAGTAAGAAAGCAAGTGATATTACACTTGAGGTCTTAGCTCAGTGGTGGAAAGGACTTGTTTTCTTTCTCTGTCCCGGATTCGAATCTTATTGTGCACGTCTGTCATCCCCACGGTACCTTACATGCTCACTGGGCTTGCAGGATGTTCAGTGGACCGTGAGATTAGTCGTGGTACGCGCAAGTTAGCCTGAACACCCATATAAATCAAAAAAAAAAAGCAAGTGATATCCCGTCCATGTAAGTTATATGCTCTAATTTTTGGAAACATAGACTAAAACAATCTCTTTCATGTTGTAATTTTCCCTTCATACATTTCTCCATTCACATCCACACTCATACACTAGCTAATTTATTTTGTCTTTTATTTCAACAAGAGACTTATTTTATGGGATGAATCATGGATTTATGGTTAAATATAATAACTCTGCTAATTCATGACATAACCATAAAAAACCTCATTCCTGCCTTGAATTATTAATGCAAGCCGAACTTGTGAATATTTGTAATACCCATAAAAAAAAATTAACATAACCTAATATATTTAACACACTCATATTTAAAAAAATTGAATGAATCGGGTTTATAATTTGTAAATTATTAAAAATTAGGTTGTATATAATTATAATTCCAAACTCGATCTAATTATATTCATGAACACTCTTACTCAAAAATTTTATTAGTTTTTGTTGAAGATATCAAATTTTTATTTAAATATTTATGAATATAACTAGGTCAAGTAGTGGTTTAGAATTTAGGGTTATATATAATGTAATATAACACCTTTTCAAATAACAATAAGATATAATTTTTATTTTTTTACACAATGCAATATATAATGTAGCATGCAATGATATTGTAGTGTCAATATATTATTTACACCCAGTCTCTTATAGTTTGCTCTTTTTTAGTTTTGTCTTTATTTTCTTAAAATTATATTTTAAATTATAAAATTTATAATTTCATAATACTTTATATCATCATGTTAACATGCCTAAAACATTGATTTTTTTTAATAGGATTGTCATTTTATTCATTTAATGACTAAACCCTTCCAATATTAATAATACAACTTGGCATAAAATATATAATTACCACTTTTCCATTAAACTTATATTAGATTTTTTCCAAAAATTAAAAAAAAAAGAGCTAAAATTTCATTGTAGTATTTCATCAAACACTTCATTTGAAAAAAAAAATTATCACATCTCTTACATAACCTTACCAAATTAAACCCCATAATTCTCACCATGTTCTGCCCATTCTTAACTATAGAAAGTTCTTTAACTTGGTATGATGCAAAGTCTGGATAACACCAAACGAGTGCAGTTTCTTGTCCTCGATCATAGACCCATATGTTGTTTCAATGTAAAGCTACATAACAGGCTCTACAATATGCTTCCAAGTGGTATTTGTTACAGGGACGCATGTCTCCCACTTTACATATCTTGTTAGCTTGCAGACACACAAATACGCAATCATTAATTTCAAATTAAATCACCTTAAACCTAGTATTTTGAATTAGTTTGAAAAATGAACCAATTTACCTAAGAAAGAAGTCATGTTCTGCGGCTAATCTCAGTCTCTCGCATTTAGAGAACCGCTCAGCAACTGTCTTACAACTTCAAACACTACAAAGGAAAACCATATTGTTCTTATCTCTAAATAATTTGTTTATGATGTTAATAGACTTTGGGGATGGGCTTTTATCTATTGGTAAACTATTTAGGCACGGACAAAAATAAAAAAGTTGGTTTATAGTTGTTAAATATTATTTTTAAAATGTTTATTTATTACATAGATAGACTTTAACTCTATAATAAAATTAAGACCTTTAAATCTCTAAAAAATTACAAAAAAAAATATTTTTTGTATATTTTTTTTTTCTGTGTAGTAAGAAGTTTATATAAACTTTGAAATATTATAATGAAACATTAAGTTCATTAATACAACTATATGACTATTAATAAAAAAAAATTATATTATAGATTAAATTGAATAGATATTATTTAATTGTATCCAAACAGTTATAAATATTAAATATAATTATAAAAATTAAAAAAATAAACTCATAAAAATTAATTTCATTAACATATTAATTAAGTTTTAAGTGCCATCTTATTTTATATTATAAATATTCATATAATAACATTAAAAAACTAGTTAGAAAAGCTCATTCATTATAACTTTCACTTAATTTACTATACAATAAATCTCATACTTTCCTTTACAATATAAAATATAAATAATTTTTTTATTCACTTCCAAATTATACCTACACTGCCAATTACCAAGTGAATCGTGTGGCTTTAGTAAAAACCAAGTGAGCTTCCTATTTTTATTATTTAAAAAAATTAAAATCGTATAGTTGAGTTTTCTCAGGGGTATGGTGAAATTTTCTAGGTTAGAAAAAATTACAAGAAAAAATTGTTGGTATGGACTTTGATCTTTTGTGTGTGACAATTTAAGGTTTTGATTGAAACAAAAAAAAAATGATGAAGAGAGTAAATAGAAGGGCATGAAGGAAAGAATATTGAAAAGGAGAGAGAATGTCGTCTTTGATTTGAGGAGAGAGTATGCAATCTCTTACATGTGCCAAATTACGATACATTATCAAATAGTAAAGTTTTTATTAGTAAAACTATTAAATTTGATAATAATTAATTATGGTGTAAAATGCAATTTAAAAAATAAAAACAAAAATAAACAAACAATAGAAGGACCAATGTGATAAACCATTTTTGTTTTAACAATAAAGTATAATCTCAGGCCAGCTTTCTAGAACAGAAGTTAATTAATCAACCTCTCTAGTTCAATTATAAACAAGTTATCTATCGTAGAATTACATGATTCACACTATCATAACTATCAATAAAGTTAAAATAAATTGTGTAAGCCATTAACCTTCAAACAAACCTTAATTGGTGTCCCTTGCATATGCTAGCTTGTGTGATTGTAACTGAACCATATATTTTTAATTAGCCCTTTTCAAAGGGTTACCAAGTTAATAAATATAAAAATGTATGTGTTGACCCCAAAAAAAACCTAGAAACTTCACATTCTTTATAGATAAAATTCATTTACTTGTCATTTCAATAAAAATTAAATTAAAAAGAAAACTAAATATGCTTGAAATGTTCTTAGAGTAATGTGAATTACAACAATATTTTATAGTGAATTGTTTTATTTATTTATTTAGTTCTATTTTTTTATATTTTGGTCACTCAATTTATTTATTTTTTATCTGATTCTTTAATATTATTTTGATTTGTAATTGGTTTTAATGATTTATTTTTTATATTTATATATGTGGCTCGTGATTTGAGAAAATATTTTGTCACTTGATTTAGCAAAATTAAATTAAATTTTATTAATTTAAAATAATTAAATTATTGGGGTTAAATTTAAAGCTTTAAAAGTATCCAACCCGTTTCTCAATATCAAATATTGATTT